CTCTCTCTCTCTCTCTCTCTCTCTCTCTCTCGTCTCAAGAGGCGTACGTGAATAGACTATGAGCCGCGGACATTACTGACAGTGTCGTTCACTCCCCCCTCATAAAACTAAAAAATCCCCCACAATAGAAGCGCTTTTTTCGCCGTGTTTCACGCAATATTCATGTCTTCAGGGGACATTTCTTCTCCTTTTCGCTGCCGCCGCTTCCGCTTCTCAACTTCTTATAGCTTTACACAATTATTCTGTTTGCGTATGGACTCGGAACGTCGCGGATGTCGAAGTTAGCGGGGTAAAAAGTACTCTAGTGGGGTAGGAACCGCGTTAACTATGCGTACTGCTTATTTAAACAATCAGATTTACACCATCAACGGCTGCGGGAGGAAGGCTTTTGATACTTTCTCCCACAGAGCGACATAAAATCAAGTTTTAATGACTTCTTTCGTGTTTCTTGAAGCCAAAGGAAGCGCAGTTCATCCTCGCCTCGGGTATACCACACCCTCACCCCCCCCCCTACCCCCTACACTTTAGAGCTTTCTACGGCCGTCGAGCGTCTAACGTTGTCGGTTAATAATTCAAGTGCAGCGTTTCCCTGAAAAGTCTTGTTCTCTCACCTAGGAACAAAAGGGAGAGCAACTTTTTTTTTTAAGGGAAAAGAATGAAAGAAGGAAAGTAAAAAGAAGAAGGAGAAGAAGAAGAAGGAAACAGCTAGGAAAGTGCCGTTAAGTGTTAAAGTGATGCCAACGTTTGCCCCCCACCCCCCCGGTCCACCCTCTTTTTCCTCTTTCCCCCATCCCCTCTCCCCTCTTTCTCCTCCTTCCCCTATCTCCTCCTCCCTCCCTCCTTCATCTTCCCCTCTTTCACTTTCTTCTCCCCCCCCCCCCCCCTCCCTTCTTCATCTCCCCACCCCCCTCCTTCATCTCCTCCCTCCCTCCCTTCGTCCTCCCCCTCTTTCCCCTCCCCTTAATGTCTCCCGTCTGATAGCCTCCCTGATCGAGTCTGGGCTTTTGTGGCCGGCTTGATAAATAGACTGACGTGACATAAATATTACAGCGAGTCTTCGCTGTCTCTTGTTTTCCCGGGCACCCCCATGGAGTGTCAGAGAAATGTGCTCTCTCTTCCTTTCTTCTTTTATTTCAGCCATGTACTGTATTGAAATCAAGCAAAGCGGTTATTTCAGTGTCTCCATTGTTTCAGTCCGTCCGTCTTTCTCTCTAGGGCTATTTCGTTTTTGTGGGGGGTTTTTCGCAGTTTGTCCGTGTTTAATCAACTCTCTCGATCAGCGCCCGTACCTTCCCCGCAGGAGTCCGAGTCTAACAGTCGATGATCAAATCAAATATTTTGTACCTGCAAAGAAGATCCAGCAGTTGCCCTCTGGTGCCAAAAGTGGCGTCCGGGTAAATAATTCAAACGTTTTTTTCATCTGGATATGTCCCGCCCTGAGCTTCCTCAGTCTGATAGGTCCCGCCCTTTTGTGAAGCCTCTTGTCTTGCGAGCGTACTTTGGGT